CACAGGGCAAGAGTGGTGGCTGCAGCAATAACCTCCCTGCTGGTGGGCTGGGTTAACCTTATCAATCCCTGCCCCTCATTTGTGTCATGGCAACACCAGCAAACACTCCTGGGTTGCCAAGGTTTCCCTGGGATAATGGGGTCTGGCTGCAGAGCAGGAGGTGATTTCACTGGGAAAAATGTGCATTATGTGACTGGCTTTTTGCAAATATTAACATGGATATTATATGGGTTGTGTTAGGAAGTTATGCTGTGTTAATCCTTTTCGGTAGTGTGTTAAATATAGTTTTAGGTTATAACAAAATGTTAAAATAGAAGCTGTGTGATGTAAGATACTTTTCTAACCAGTTCAAGGAATGGATAAGATAATAAAGAAATTCTTCAAACAGACATAACAGCAAGAAGACACTAAAATCCCAAAGAGAAAAATTATTACCTCCTTATTGAGAAGAACCAAACTCCTACCTCCTTTCAGACTCCACAGAGCCAAATCATAATTTACAAGATGAAGGGGGAAGAGTTGACATTAAACAAAAAACTCCCTAGTTTATAAACAATGTTTACATAATATATAAAATATATGAATATACAACAAACCATTACTTAAAAAAGTCAATTCTTTATTAGCAGACATGCTTTTTTGAAGAAAACATCCAAACATTCATAATTCTTTACTTTTTTATTGTCCTTCATTGTCCTAACTCTGATTGTCCAAATTCTTATTGCTGTAATTTTAATTACTATTTTTATACTACAGTATAAAAATATAGTATAATATATACATGTGGTATATAAATGTACTATAAAATATAGTAATATATAAAAAATCCTAAAAATATACTATAATATACTATAAAAATACCTAAAATATAGTAAAATATAATATATACATATAGTATATACACATACTATATGTGTATACTATATATACTTTTAAAATTTTAACACAAGTAATTAGCATTTTTCACAACACGGATTTCTTGGAAAACCTGGGAATCCTGGAGGAGGTGATGCCCTGGGAGCAGGTGAGGTAATTACACAGCTTGGGAATTGGGAGCTTGGCTCCAGCCAACTGCTTCATTTTGATTTTTGTAAAATGAAATATTTTAAAAAAAAGTAGTCTAATTAATTTGCTATGAAAACAAATTAATCTAGACACGAGCTGTTCAGCTGAAGTAGGCAGGCAAATGGAAGCTGACTGGAGGCCTCCTCGTGGGTCTGTGTAGGATTTTTTTGTTTTTGCAGGGCTCTGAGGAGTTGATGCTTCGTGGGCCCAGGTGCAGGAGGGCTGGGGCAGGCTGTGCTGTCATTGCATGAGGAGGTTTTTGTGCCATGTCAGTAAAACCCTTCGGTTTTTGTTGAAGTTCAAACTTTTGTTGAAGTTCAACTTTGGTGAAGTCAAGATGTCAGAGGTGGAGGAGGTGGGAAGGGTTTTGATGCTGGAAAAGCAAGCTGGTAAATTTGGGACAGGGAAATGTTGAGGGTGTTAAACAGAGCTGCAGGCTGGGTCAGGCAGGGCATGATCCAGGGATGCCTGCAGGCTGGGAGGGTGTTCTGGGGAAGGATTGCTGTGTTGTGCTGTTATATTCTGTTATATTCCTGTTATATTCTTCCTTAAGCACCTGTTCTTGCAGCTGGTGAGGTGGCAGGTACGACCTGCTCTGTCTGTGCTGTTATTGAGGTAAAATTCATCATGCTCATGTTGATGTTCTGCTGAAAAAACCTGGGTTCTTTCTCAGGAATTCTTTGAAGAGCAGCATATCCAAGGGCTGTGTCTGCCTGCCTCTGCTTCCCTCGCTGGAAGGTTCCTCCCTCCCTGATTGAAATCATGTTCTGGTTTCTGGTTGCCAGAGTACAACTCTTATCACGGAGACAGAGCCACAGCAGAGCTGCAGGCAGGGATGTGCTCAGCTCTGCATCCTCCTGGAAGCCCCTGGCCCCACAGGAAGGGGCAGACCTGCAGGGCACTGCTGTGCCAAGGGCAGCCAGGTGGACCCAGATTTAATGAGGTTTTGTCTCACATGACTTCCTCCATCACAGGAAAGGAATGAGCAGGTGGAGTGGCTTTAAAGCAGGTCACAGAACATTGATAAGAGTTCCCTCTTTTAAATCTGAATTTAGGTAAAAAGCAAAGCCTGGAGTAGTGGGAGGTTTTTCTGTACCACAAAGGGCTCGTGCTTTGCTGTCACCCTGTGAGCAGGGCCAGGAGCTGTGGGTTTCTCTTGCTCTCTCACCAGTAGAGAAGAGGAGAACAGGGAGGGGATGGCTTGGAGTATTTTTGAGAGAAAATGCAAGACTGCAGGAGGGGGATATTTCACCACAGCCCATGGAAGCGACTCCCCAGGCTGGCGTGGTTTTGCTATCTGGGTGTTTCTGATTTCCCTGCACTTCTCGTCCTGTACTGAGATAAGAGAGAAGATGCTCCACGCCTTCCACTCCTCTGGCATCATTCCCACACCCATGAGAGACAATCCTTTCCCTCCAGCCCTGCTTTTCCCCCTGCAGCCCCATTCCTGTTTCCTTCCTCGAGCTGTGTCCCCACCAGGCTTTTTCCAGAGGCAAAAGTGGAAAACCAGCAATTCCCATCAGAGGAGATGGCACATCCTGTAAATATTTCAGGGAATAATCTCTCTGAAGACTCTTTTGGGGATCTAGTGGCTCTTTAGGCTGTGTTTTGTTTGCCTTTTCTCTTTGCAGATGCTGCTCAGGGAAGGGGGAGGACAGGGAGCTTGTGCTGAGTAACAAGAGGCAGAGGACCATGACATTGCTTGTTTTTGTTCAGTCAGGCTGAGCAAAGCTCACTGTGCTCTGAGGCTGGAGAATGCCTTTAAGCCTCTCCTGAGAGAAATGCTCGGCTCATGTGCTGTGTTCTGACTCGCCTCCAGCTCTGGTGGAGCAGATAAAGCTCAGCTGAGGAGGGGCAGATGCTTCCAGCACAGCTTCCCACCCTGAGAGCTGCTGGCAAAGCCAACTCCTCTGCCCTGGCTCTGCTCTGGGGCTCATCTCCAGCTCCAGACCCCCACAGGCACCTCCACACCCTGCATGGACAGAGTGTGGGCTGTGCTGTTCTTCAGGTGTTCACGAGTGGGAGGGAGGAATTCATGGTGCAGCTGAGGAGTAATTTAATATATGCATTTGTGTGGGGGGCTACATATGCATATAATCCTGTAACCACACATCACAGGCTTGGGAAATCGCTGGAGAATCCCAGGTCAGCTATTCTGTGTGCAATTGTAGCTTTTCTCTGCTTTCTAACTCAGGCCCGAGGGTGGGAGCTTCTGTGTTCTGGTGCTGTTCATGCCTGATTGCTCCCCTGGGTGTGAGCACTGTGGGATGGCAGTGGGGAAGGTGTTCTTGGTGTTCTCTGCTGGCTGGAGATTGTCAGGAAGATTAAAAGAGCAGGAGGTGTCCTGGGGCTGGATGGAAATGCAAACCCAGCGTGTGGCACTGAGCAGGGTGGGGAGAGCAGCAGTGCCAGGGTTCAAGGGTTTCTTCTTTTCAAAAGCCATCACTTTGACTAATTTAAAAAAATCCTGTGTGACATTTCTGTCCTTCCTGCCTCAGCCCTGCTTCCTGCAGCTTTCCCATCTCCCCCATCTCCTCAGACTCTGCTGAGCCTTCACCTTTCTTTACACACATTTCCCCTTGCACTGAAAGAAATCTCTGTGGAATTTCCCCTTTTCCCTCCTGCCTGCTGCAAGCACTGCATTTTCAGGCTCTCCCCATAAACTGGGATAGCCAGAGAGAGGAGGGAACTGCTCCATTTTGGCTCTGGGGGCTGAGGTGGAGTTAGGCAGGAGGGAGCTGGCAGTTCTCTGGTGTTTCTGTGCTGTGTGAGCTCAGCACAGCAGGCAGGGTTTGATGTGCACAAGCTCTGTGTGAGGGGGCCAAGGCCACCAGGCACAGCACCCAGAGCTCAGTGTGGCAGCAGCAGATAGCAGGGGTGGCTGCAGCACTGCTGGGGAGAGTGAGGCTGGAAAAAGCAGAGTTTGCTTGGGAACTCCAGCTCGGCTGGCAGGTGATACACCTGGCCTGCCATTGGGTCTGATTCCTGCTTGCCAACCAGCATTAAACACCTTATCTCTGCCCAGCAGGTGTGGTTTCAAAGCTGGCAAGTGTCTGTGCTGGGGACAAGCATTAATACCTGGGAATTTATGCATTAGGGCTTGTGAGGCACTCGCTCTGCTGGAGAGCAAATCCAGCTGGTTAAAAGCTCAGTACATCAAGCCTAGTTCAGCATCCATTGAAATCCTTGGGCTGTGCCTGTCCCTTGGTGCTTTCCACTCATCTGAGCTGCTGGTGGGACTCAGAACTGCTCAGCTGCAGAGTCTCTTTGGGGGATGCTTCTCCCATGAGCATCTGGAAGTTGAATTTTGCTGCTGATCAGTTCTTGCTGCCTTTCCTGATCAGTTCAGAGGAATTTTCACTGAGCACTGGTGTGACCATGCAGGAGATCTGCTGCAAGAGGTGCTGTCTTGAGCATCAGAGGATGCAAACAGGCTGCTATTGTAGGCTGGAGTTATAAATATCAGGCTATTATGGAGGCAGTTTTAATGAAGGAAACGACTTGCCACTATTCATGCTGATTGTTGCGTGGGTTTTTGTTTGTTACCCCATTAAGAGGTTAAAAAAAAGGCAACTGTAGCTTCTTTGTGTCCTTTGGAGTGGCTTTCTCTGTCAGAACTGCAGTGCTGGGGCTCTGGAGGTGGGGAGGCAGGGGTTATTTTTACAGACAATGCTTTTCTCTAGTTTGAAATGAAAAATCAGGACTGACAAAGAGTGTCTGGCTTTTTTTTTTTTTTTTTTTTTTTCAGAGTATACCATAAAATCTAAACATCCAGCCTTGCCTTCAAGGTATCTGAAAGTATTTATTAGCTTCTATTTTATGAGGGTGATGGGATGTTTTTATCACTGTCTGTGGGTGAGAGTCTGGCTGCTCCCAGTGTGTGTGGTGCTGGCAGATCAGCTCTGTTTGCTTCTTCCAGGTGTGACTCCTGCCAGCCCAGGCTGGGGCCATGGCTGACATGATTTTTGGCAGTGGTTCGGGCCCCTGGGTTTGCCCCAACGACCGGCAGCTGGCCCTGAGAGCCAAGTGAGTCCTTTTCCCTTTCCCCTTTTCCTTTCCCCTTTTCCTTTTCCCTTTTCCCTTTTCCCTTTCCCCCCTCAGCTCTGCCCTCACAGCTTTCCTGCTGTCTCTGGTCTCTTGGCCTCATCCTGCACCCTTGCAGTCCATCCCACAGCCTTCCCTTGGGTGAAAGGAAGGGTTAAAGCACCCTAAATATAATTGATGGCATCCCCCAGCTGCCAGCACCTTTTTGTTTTAGGAATTTGTCATTAGTTCTCGTTTTCCCCCGAAGTTAAAATTACAGCACAACCTAAGGACTGAAAGGATGGGGATGAGTCAGGGCTCTAGAAGTGCATTTTTCTTGGGTGTTTTCATTCCCTGACAGCTGGGACTGTGCCACCTCTGCTTTTTCCTGAACCGCTGGGCTCAGCTGCTGCTGCAGAGTGTTAGAAAATAGGGGAACACCCCATGGTTTGAAGGGGCTGCCTGGCTGAGCACCCCATTGCCTCCTCCCCTGCCCGCAGAAACCTTCAGCAAGGCAGTGGTGCCCAGCAGTGCATCCTCCTTGCAGCCATAAGTGTATCCAGTGACCTCCAAACCCCTCCTGGATGGTAATTAATTAATTGAGCTGTGAAAGCTCCTGCCTGTTGCCAAGTGAGCCAAGGAGAGGCATCAGCTGCTGCATGGGAGGCACAGGGGGTTTGCTGGAGTCCTCGTGTGAACCTGGGCCAGACCAAGGGAGGATGGTGCCAAATTTGTATTTCTAGGCATGCCCAGAGGTTTGTGTGCTTGAACTGAGGGCGTGAGGGATGTGGGAGCCCCTGTGTCTGGCAGTTTGCTCTTGGCATTTGTGGTGCCTGGCACCAGCATCCATCCCTGTGAGGGGATCCCCAGGACAGGCAGCCCCAGGGTGCTGCTGCTGCTGCTTTATGGACAGACAGGAACAGGGGCTCAGAAAAACACAAACTGGAGCAGAAAGGGAGGGCAGGGAGAGGCAGCACAGCACTCAGTGCTGCTGTGGAAATGAGCTCAATGAGAGGACCTTTGGGATTTAGGCATGGAACAGACATCCCTGATGGGAGGCTGCCGTGGGTCTGCGTGCCTGGGCTGTGGGGCAGGAAAGATGGAACAGGAAAGCCTTAGAAAGATGATTGCCTGGCAAAAGATTTTGAGAATATAGAAACTGATGGAAATAAAGAAATGAGATTTTGAGAATATAGAAACAAGATGGAAATGAAAGCAAGCTTTGAGATACCTTAGTTACTGAACAACTGGAAATCAATGGCATGGCCAGCTGAAGGTAATCCCCTTTTGCAGAAACAACACCCTCTGCTTGCAGACAGGTCCAAGGGGCAGAGCAGACCTCACTGGCTTGGCAGAAGGGGTCCAAAGAGGAGTTTTTAGGGTTTAAAATGTAGCACAGTATGGTAATGTAATGATTCTTATAGGCTGTATGTAAATGCTGTAGGATTTGTATCTTGTATTAGATTGGTTAGTGAAAATTAGAATATTTAGCACAGAAGAATATTTATGGTATTGGAACGGGAACCTCGCTCTCTCATTTTCTCTTTCCCACACCCTTGCCTTTTCTCTCTTTACCTCTCTCTCCCTCTTTGGGGCCTGCTCTGAGCTGGCAGCTCCCAGCAGTGCCCTGCACTTGGCCCTTTGCAATAAACCCCAATTTCCACCACCTGCCTCCAGATTTCTCTGCTCTCCATCCATCCCAACCATCCTCCAGGGCAGGGCCGGGGCTTTGTGCTTCCTTCCCCAGCTGAGTGCTGCCCTCCACGCCCTCCCACAGGCTCCAGACGGGCTGGTCAGTGCACACATTCCAGACTGAGAAGCAGAGGAAGATGCAGGCTCTGAGCCCCCAGGAGCTTGAGCTCATCCTGGGAGTGATCCGCAAGGCAGAGCAGCTGGACGTGGCGGAGCAGCAGCGCGTTGGGTACGGCCACGTTCCTGTCCCCTTTCCCTCCCTTCCATCCCCAGAAAAGCTCAGCCCAGGCAGGAGTGCCTCTCCCAGCTGTCTGAGCTCAGCCTCCATCCCTCACAGCATCCCTTAGGTCAGTGATTTTCCCCTCCTGTGACGGTATTCACAGGGGTTCTTGGATTGGGAAAGAGAGGAAAATCTGACTCCATGTTTCAGAAGGCTTGATTTATTATTTTATTATATGTATTACATTAAAACTATACTAAAAGAACAGAAGAAAAGGTTTCATCAGAAGGCTTAGCTAAGAATAGAAAAGAAAAGAATGATAACAAAGCTTCTGTCTCGGACAGAGGGTCTGAGCCAACTGACTGTGATTGCCCATTAATTACAAACAAACCAACATGAGCCAATCATAGATGCACTTGTTGCATTTCACAGCAGCAGATAACCATTGTTTACATTTTGTTCCTGAGGCCTCTCAGCTTCTCAGGAGGAAAAATCCTAGGGAAAGGATTTTTCATGAAAAGATGTCTGTGACACCCTCCCAAGCTGCTTGTTTGGAGGTGATGACTGCTGGGGAGGGCATCGTGTTTTCCTTCTTACTGAAGTCTTTTCATGCTTTCTTTGAGCCTTGGGGGCTGCTGAGGGTGCAGCCCTGACACATGGGAAATGCAGGTGGTGCTGGGTGAGGCAGGGGCTGTGGGGGAGGCTGGGCAGTGCCCAGGGCATGGATGGCTCAGGATCACTGCTGGCAGTGCAATCAGGCTTTTCCTTGTCCTCGCCAGGCCCCTGGGATTTTGCCTGGAGCAGAGAATGAGTTTATGTTCTAGTTGGCTGAGCCCTCTGGATGGGGTTTGCTAGCTTGAATTATTTAATTTACAGGCATCCTTTTGCTGCTGCAGGTTCCCATTTGCTCTCAGTCCTGCTGGAGGCCTGGCCTGAGCTCTGTGTGTGATCATCCTGCCTTCAGAGGCAGAGAGCTGGGCAGCCCTGCAGCATTTCCCAGCAGTGTTTGTGTTCATGAGACACAAATCCCAGGGACCCCCAGCCCCTGTCCAGCAGGCCCTGCTTCCCTGTGCTCGTTAGTGAGGGCTAATGAGGAGTGGCAGTGATGTTTTTGTTATAAATGGGAGCCCCCAGCAGCAGCCAGTGACCGTGAGGGCCTGCCTGCTCCTGTGTGCTTGCTGCTGGAGCTGCAGCAAGTGCTCCCCTCGCAGCTCCTGCGGTCAGGCATCCTCTGAAATGCCTTTTGTTCACTCCCAGGAGCTCTTTTGTGCCGGAGTCCAAGTCGAGGATCATAAATCCACTAATGATGGCTCTCTCTGGCTGTGCAGCCTGACCTCCCCACCACGGCAGCACCTCTTTCAAACAGCCCTCACCTTGCTCTCCTGGTGGATGGGACATTAGCACTAATGAGAGTGGGATTCATGGATGGCGGGATCACTGCCTCCTGCTGCTGGTGCTGATGAATGGCCTGGCTGCTGCAGATGGCCTGAGGGTTGCCAAGCAGTGATCTCATGGCAGAGCAGCCTTGCTCTGCATGCTCCCCACACCCTGCATCCTCATTGCCTGTCCCGCCTCCCTGCCCTCTCCCAGCCCTGCTGCTGCAGACATTGAGCATGCATATGTGCTTCTTGTCTTCCAAATGGGCTCTGGGAGGTAGAAGGGAGCAGTCACTGCCATTCCTGTGCCACAGCCAGGCTCATTTTGGTCTGATGGCTTCAGTCTGGCTCATTTTGGCCTTCAGCCTGGCCTTCCTGCTTCTAATGGGATGTCAGTGCCTGCCCTGCTGCTTTCAGAGATGGGAAATGGAGAGGGCTTGGCAGGTTTAGCTCCTTTGCCCCTTTTCCAGTGCTTTTTGACTTGCCCTGGTGTGAGGGCAAGATAATGTACAAAACTTAAACATTCACAGAAATAGAGATGTGCTATTTTGATGTCCCCACTTAAGTATACTGTGTAAAGATCTTCTCCAGCTACATTGAAATATAAGATTTCAAGACCCATATACAAGCCTTGGGTGCTGTAGAATACTATAGATCATATTGGCTCCCCTTGGGAAGGCATGCAAAAAATTTCATTCAGGTAGCAATATTTTTACTGCTGTTTTTTAGATTAGAAGTGTTCCTGTATTTTTTCAACTAGTTCAATTCATTCAAATTTAGATTTCTTCACAAGAAATAATAACTTTAAACCATGGCAAACTTTTCTGAAACGTTCCTTTTAGCATGCCAAATGTCAATAATAAAGGAAATAAATGGGTATGGGCTGGGAGCTTTCCCTGCAGTGCTGTGACCGTGCTGTGCCTCCTGCCCGCAGGCGCCTGGTGGAGAGGCTGGAGAACATGAGGAGGAACGCCATGGGGAATGGCCTCTCGCAGTGCCTGCTCTGTGGGGAGATGCTGGGGCTGCTGGGCAGCTCCTCTGTCTTCTGCCAGGACTGCAAAAAGGTGGGTTTGGTCACACGAGCCTGTCCCTGGCAGCAGGAATCTCCAGGAAACACCAGCAGGCCCTTGGAGAGCTCTGCAGGGTGATTTTGTTCTCATTGTTGCTGTCAGACCATTGAGTTTGCTGTGGCAGCCTGGTGATGACAAGAGATTCCTCAGGATCCTGGTGATAATGAGATTGCTTATGATCTGGTGATACCAAGAGGTTCCTCAGGATCCTGGTGCTAACAAGAGATTCAGGATCCTGTTGATAGCAAGAGATTCCTCAGCATTCTGGTGATAATATAAGATTCCTCAGCATCCTGGTGATAATAAGAGATTCAAGATCCTGGTGACAATAAGAGGTTCCTCAGGATCTTGGTGATGGCAAGAGGTTCCTCAGGATCCTGGTGATAACAAGAGATTCCTCAGGATCCCAAAAAGTGCCTGAGCTGCCCTCATAGCTGAGATGGGCTGTGCCAGCCCCCTCTGCAATTCCCAGCTGTGATTTTTGGGGTTTGCAGCGTGGGACAAGGGGCAGGAATGTGCAGCCACCAGAGACAGCTCACAACAGAGTCTGTGAGCTTTGCTGGCCCTCACTGCAAGGTCTCCCTTCCAGGAGGACCCAAGTCCATCCTCAAGCTCCAAACCAGTGCGAGATCTCCATCCCTGAGCCTCAGGGAGTGCCATGTTGTGTGAGCTGTTGCTCTCCAGCACCCCAGGGTTGGTTCCTGCTGCTCTGGGCTCCACAGCTGAGGGGTTCACCTGTATTTCTGTGGGGATTATGATCTCCAAGGCAACCACCTCCTCCTGCCTCTGCTGGGAGGCTGCTTTTCCTGCTCTTGAAGCCCACCTTCCCTGGGGAATCACCTCTGGGAGTTCCTTCATGTCTCCTGTGGCAAGGTGAGGGCACCTGCTGGGTGCTGCAGTGGTTCTGCTGAGTTAAACCTGCTGATTTTACTTTTTTTTTAGTAAAAACTACCACAGACTGGTGGTTGGACCACAGGGGACAACCTTCTGTGGCCCTGCTGGCTTGTGTGGGACACAGCCCTCGTGCAGAGCAGGTTCCTCCAGTGGAAGCCACAGAAATCACTGGGATTGTGCAGAAAATTCCTTCTAAGGCAGTGCCTGGGGAAGGACACACAAATCTTGGAGCCCCTGAATCCTAAACCATGGGGAAAGCAGCTTTTAGGGAAGGGGTGTGTGGGAGGAAGCAGCAGTGGGGAGTGGAAGGTTGGGTTTGGATGGGAGCAGCATGATCTCTGTGCACTGTGGACAGTAAAGGGTGGGTGACAGGCAGGAGATTCTTGGCTGTTTCCTGCGTTTCAGGCATGTGGAATAACAGGATGTGCTCTGTTCCTGCCTCCTTCCCCTGGCAGTTCTGCCCTCACCTTGTCAGGAGCCAGCTAAGTCACGTTGCCATGGGGCTTTTTAACCAATTTCCTGTGAACTCTGAGCACTATTGAGGGGGCAGGGGCTGCTTCAGGCACTTCCCAGCCCTGTCCCCTTGCAGGAGTGACCCTCAGCTGTCCCTGAGGAGGGCTGTGACCAGAAAAACCCCAGAGAAAAGCTGGATTTTTTTTCTTTTTCTTTTTTTTCTTTCTATTTTTTCTTTTTTTTTTCTTTCTTTTTTTTTCTTTTTTCTTTTTTTCTTTCTTTTTCTTTTTTTTTCTTTTTCTTTTCTTTTCCTTTTTGTCTTTTTGTCTTTTCCTTTGTTTTCTTTTCCTTTCCCTCCTTTCCTTTCCCTCCTTTCCTTTTCCTTCTTTTCTTTTTCTTCTTTTCTTTTTTTAATTCCCTTTTGTCTGGAGTCTGTTGGGCAGTTCAGCAGCATTCACATCCAGTTTGATTTAAGTGCGCCCCAACTTTTCCAGGGTGCATTTTGCAGCTGCTTTCAGCCTGGCTGCACTTTTCAGCTCTGTGCTAGCCCAAAGCAATTCTGCCTGGGTGCCCTGGGCTTGTCCCCTTCTGCTTTTTAATGTTGTGAACTCAGGGAACAGCCAACCCTTCAGCAGAGCACAGAGCGAACTGCTTGTTCCCTCTCGTCCAGGGATATCCATCACTCATGGAGTGCTGTGTGCAATAAGCAATTTGTCAGGGAATTATGGATTTTTTAAAGTTCATATTTTTCTGGCAGGCACTGCTCTGGTACCGTGTCATTGCAGCACATTTAATTCAGCGCCAGGAATTGTAATGATGCACCTGAAACACAGCAAAGAATTTACCTTCAGCAAATCCCTGCTGCTGAACAGAGCTTCTGCACTTCTGATGGATCTTCTAAGTGCCACTTTCTGCTTTGGAAAGAATGCTTTTAATATTGGTTTTTATTATCTGGGAAATAATAATTGTGGCAAGACAAAGGTGTGTGCAAAGCCAGATGTGTTAACAACAGCAGGAGTGAGACAAAGCCCAGGGTGCTTTACCATGCAGAGGGGATTGATGTCATGAGTAAAAAGGTGAAGGATGAGTGGGAGAGGAAAGTGCTTTGTCTTGTGTTTAATGAGAAATGGGGCTGCATTTAATGCCCTTGATTTTTATGTCTTCTTCAGAGGGGTTCTGAGTGATGCTCGATTTCCCAGCCGCTCTGCAGAGGAGGGGAGGAGGAGGAGGAAAACACCGTTTTAGTGTTGGGATTTTTCAGAATTCGTGGCTGGGAGTAAAACCGGTTGGGAATTTCCACTAGAGGGAGCGTTTGAATGTGCTATCCGTGTGGGGATTGGGATTTTGGACGGTGTTCCGGGCTGAGCTGCTCCCTCAGGAGGGAGGGAGAGTTTGGGGTGTTTTACATGGGGTCTGTGACTGAATCTGCCAATCCCCCTTGGCTTGGGGAGCTCCGTGCTGAGGGGTGATGCTCCAGGCTCAACAGGCTGCTCATTATTTCTCTGGGAGGATGAGGATGAGGGCAGAATTAAAAAATTACTCTGAAGAGCGCTTGTGTGGCCTGGCAGGGGATGGGACTGGAGGAACCCACCCCGATCTCCATTCTGCCCCCTCGCAGAACATTTCTCTTTTCTCACTCATTCTTTCAGCAGGTACAATCCAGGAATTTAATCTTCTTCAGAATGACCGAATTTTAAATTAGATGGGGCGGGGAAGTGGGATGGGGAAGATGAGACCTTCATCCCTGGGCACAGGAGCAGCCTGGTGTGGGAGGTGTGTGAATGTGGGGACATGCAATCCTCATGGATATCTCAGCAAGCCTTTGCTCTCCTCTTGTGAGTGGCTGCTCCTCTGTGAGGATCAAAGGATTCATCCCATTTCTCATTCAGGCTGCGCTGCCAGGGCTGATAGGCGTCAGCTTCATTATGTAATGTTGGGTGATTCAGGTTGTAAATGGCTCGGGATGCCAGCAGAGACTGCAGAAAGGGCTGTGCAGAGCCACAGACACTCAGGAAATGTGTGTAACCATGGCCATGGCTAAACAGCCCCAGATCGAGGAGAGAGTGCTGAGATGGAGGGGAAAATGTGGGATTCAACAATTGTGTGTGAGAGGAGGAAGGAGAACACTCCCAACCTTGCACTTGTGCCTGCTTACAGCTGCTTTCCACACCACAGAGAATGGGGTTTGGGATTCAGGGGAATAAAAAAGCAGCTCTGGAAACTCACCTGTGGCTGATGGGGTTTGGTTTGCCCTGCCCAGTTCTCTCCTCTCCCCGGGGTCAAGGACTGTGCTGTGGGTTTGCCTTTCTCTCCTGTCCTCACAGCCCTGCAGCACCTTCCTGCAGGCAGCGCTCCTCCAGGAAAAACAGGGAATTTGTGCCATGCTTTGGGTTTTTAAGGGGAGCAAAACAGAGCTGCTGCTTCTCAACCTTCTGTCCCCCAAGGGCTGTGGGGAGCTGCTAACACCACCTCTCTCTTTTTTTTTTTTGTCTTTTCTTCCTTTTTTTTTCTCTCTCCTTGTTTCAGAAAGTGTGCACCAAGTGTGGGATAGAAACTGTTGGAGCCCAGAAACGTCCCCTGTGGCTGTGCAAGATCTGCAGTGAGCAGAGAGAGGTAAAACCCAGCTGTGGGGAGCTGGGGCTCAGCAGCACCCACCTGCCCACCTCAAAGCTGTGCACAGCACCTGTGGGCTCTTCCCTGGGCATTGCAAGGCAGAAAATGGGATTTGGGAGGCCGGGCAGGCTCAAACACACCCACAGTGGTGGCAACTTTGTTTTATGAGGAAGTGAGGGGTAAAAATCCCGCTGACTTTGTGGGATTTTTCTAGCTCTGGCCATAAAGTTGTTCCCTTACACCCTTTCCCTCCTCACTCTGTGGGAAATGAACTTGGCTAACTGTTTTTTTTTTAATACAGCTTGAGAGATGTAGAGCATAACTGCAATATTTGCCCCACTAAAAATAACTAGAATTGCAGCCTTTAAATCTGTTTTCCTCCCTGCCTGCAAAATCCCATAACTTGCCAGTGTGTGAGGCTTCTAATGCAGGTTTCTAAATTTTTATATCCTTCATCCTTGACTTTACACTGCAAAAAAAAAAAAAAAACAGAAAAAGTAATGGTCTGCCTCAATTCTTGTCTGCCAGCCAGCATCCCCCAACATCAGGGCTCTGAAGTGAAGTCTGTGAATTTGTTCTGTGATTACAGATGGATTTTCACTTGTTCCCATCAATTTATTCTGGGCTTTGGCTTGTGGTCCTTGAGCATCAATCCAGTCCAGCTATTTCAGATCAAGCTGTACCCAGCTGTGTAACCTGGGTGCTCTGCTAAATCAATTTTTGAAGTGTAGGGAGAGTGTTTGTGCAGCTTTTGGAGGTGCGGAATTTTTTTCTTTAATTAGTTGTGGAAACTTTGCATTGCTTAGGGTTTTTTTTTTTTGTTTTTTTTTTTGTGTGGGAGCACCCACAAAATCCATGTTCAGGTAAAATGAGGGGTACGTGGATGGTGATAATTTAAATTATCAGCAGCAGTGTGGGTAGGGCAGGAAGAGAGCATTCCAGCTCCCTGGATTTTGATAACAATTTGATACACTGAATCATCTGGATGTTTTGAATTCCAGATAGAGATCCCAAAATAGAGACTGAGGCAGGTGCAGGTATTCTCTGTGCTCTGCAGGGAAACGCAGGGACTAAAATTTGCTTTATTTCCTTTATTCTCTTGGGGTTTTTTTTCAATCTCTCTGTACCACTGTGGGTTTTTTTCCTATTTCTTAAAAAATAATAAGTAACCTGGTCAGTGAGCAGAGAATATTGATGTGTCCAGCACGTGTTATGTGTGGCCAGAGTGTGAGGGTGTGATAACCTCCAGCACTCCCTCTGTGAGCCCTGAGATGCAGCCAAAGTGCATCCCTGAGGAAAATGGATGGACCTTTCCTTCTTAGACTAAATCACAGCCTCAGCTTGCCTCTCAACCCTTAGCTTCTGCTTTATTTTCCAATTCCCTTTAAGAAGGTGGGTTCAAGTCTGTCTCCTTTTTTATTTATGCTGCTGCTGGTGCCCTGCACAGGAGAAGGTTGGGAGGGTCACAGGGAGGGCACACAGACATCAAATCATCCATCCCCCGTGTCTTCCTACATGCCCTGCCTTGATTTTGGGGGTTTCATGCCCTGCCTTTATTTTGGGGGTTTGGGAGCTGAGAATTAGAGGAACCTTGGCCAAGGAATTTGAGGTAAATCGGAATAAATGTGGCCCAGCAGGATCTGAGGCTGCTGGGGTTGGGCATCCCATGCACCCCAGCCCTTTAACTCTCTGCACAGCCTTATTTTGACTGGTAGCACCAGGTTCTGCAGAGCACCTTCCTGAATTACCCCTTATACATATATTTTTATATATCTATACATCCATAATTAGCAATGCTATCATTGTAATTAAATCCTCTTGGAAGCATTTGTGCACATTTACATTTGAATTGACACATCCAGAATTGTAGGGATAATGAAAGCAGTTTCGGTGGGGTGGGGGGAAGCTTTTTTTTTAAAACTGCCTTGAATATGAAAGAGAGTGTCAGCTACCTGGGACCTGTTAAAAGTTTTAATTTGCCCTCTCTGCTTCACTTTCCTTTTCATTCCTTCTCCATTTTCAAGGCTGGCTGCATTTCTCAGTTTATCACACAAAGATTTTTGTGCTGGAGGAGCAGAGTCATCTCCTCCTCTTTTGCCCCCGGGGCTTCCCTTTTCAAATATCCAGTCCTACCACTTGGAACACTGTAAAGCAGCATAGCTTGGGGTTATTCCTGCCTGGCATGACGATTTCCTGGCAAAACACCCCACGAATGGGGAGGGGTGTTTATTTTGGGTGACTTTGCATTGAATAGGAGCGATGCGCACCTGTTTGTAATTGAAAGAACTCATCAGTAGCCTCTGCCATATTATTTTGGGGGTGGCAGCGAGTAGTTAGACTCAAAATAGTGTCCTCTAGAATAGAGGGGGAAAAAAAAGAGGCCTGATTGAAAGGGGGGTGATGATAAATGGTTGAAGGCTGGCAGGCACTGCAGCTCGAGAAACGTCGGGGTCAGGGGGGCGATGGATTTTGCTGTTCCAGAAACAAAGCTGGGAATGGTAATTCCACTGCCTTTTAATTTCCTTCATCCTCAAGTGCCCGACATGGGAGTCGGCAGCAGCTTGCTGTAAATAATGTAATTGGAAATCTCTGTGTTATGGAAAAGCAGATGAATGCAAATAACGAGGCTGAGGAGCTCTGGCTCTCTCTGTGTTGCCAGTGGTGTTTGCAGGGCTGGGACAGAGGGGTTGTGTGGGGATGTGCTGCAGGCGGGACAATTTTCCTTGCTGTAACCCACAGAAAGCTGCTTCCCCACCTTTGGGTATTGCTGGTGTCAGCATGGCAGGGTAAAAGTGGGTGGTTTTCCCCTCACCAAGCCCAGGCTGCTGTGAAGGAAAGGCTGCAGGGTGGTGTGATGGTGTTCACAGGGGTCTCAGGATGAGGGAAGAGATGAGGATCTGACTCCATGTTTCAGAAGGCTGATTTATTATTTTATGATATATATTACATTAAAACTATACTAAAAGAATAGAAGAAAGGGTTTCATCAGAAGGCTGGCTAAGAATAGAATAAGAAAGAATGATAACAAAGGTTTGTGTCTCGGACTCTCTGTCCAAGCCAGCTCACTGTGATTGGCCATTAATTACAAACAAACCAAAATGAGACCAATCACAGATGCACCTGTTGCATTCCACAGCAGCAGACAACCAATGTTTACATTTTGTTCCTGAGGCCTCTCAGCTTCTCAGGAGGAAAAATCTTCAGGAAAGGATTTTTCATAAAAGATGTCTGCGACAGGGTGGGAACACTGCATGGCACAAGCAGGAGCTGGTGGAGCAAAATGTGGCTTTGCAGCAAAGATCTTTTCTAAGTGTTGGAACTCAGTGCATCCCTCTGGGTGTCCAGAATTGCTGGGGGGCTCAGAGACCCTGACACACAGCCCAGAACACCTGGGGATTTGATTTTGACCCCTGGAGCAAGTTGCCAGCTTTGTATGAGGACCTGAAAGTCCCAGAAGTTTAAATAGTATAATAATAAAATAATCACAGGGTGAAAATGTAGATTTTAGGATTTTTGGTATGGGGGTTTTCAAGACAAGATGGAGGAACTTGGGCGTGTCCAGCCTTTCTTCTTCTTCTTGGTCTCCATCTTCTGCAGTGCTGTTGGCACTTTGGGATTGGTTTAGAATAGAAGTGCACTGTCTAACATAGGTGACAGGTATTGGAAAGTAATTGTAAATATGTAGTTTGTAGTATAAAAAGACAACACCACCCTGAGGGAGGTCAGAGTGCCTTTGGCTGCCCTGCTGAGCAGATCTTGGATGGGCAGAAAGAAAATTTTACAGATAAGAATTAATAAACAACCTCAAGACTGAGAACTGCAGAGCTCTGACTCGATCTAAGCAGGGGTTTGGTGAGGAGGACTCTGGGGAGGCTGCAAGTGTTTGTTGTGATTCCCCAAGCTGTGATCCACCTCTTTATCAGCAAGCCCTAGTGTTTTCCCTGCTCAGGAGCTTGTTTTAGCACTTGTGTGCTCAGAGCAGCAACATGAGTCTCAGCAGGGCCCAGTGATTCTGTGTCAGGTCCCATTTCCAGGCTGCTCTTGAAAATGCTCGATAAAATCCCCATCTGCTTCTGCGTGTGTCGCTCCATAGCTGCAGTGATGGCTTGATGCAGCTTTAATGGGAATATTATCAGGGTTATAAAAGGCATTTATCTGTCATGGCCACGGCTGTCCCTCTCCCTGGTGACATTCCAGCTCCACCCAAACTCAGACTGCTGTGGGAAACAAATTCCACCTTAATGTGAGCTGGTGGGAGCAGCATTCTCCTTTCCTTGGCAAGAGTAAACTCCTGCTGAGAAATAAGAATTTTATTCTCAAGGCTCTGTTACAGATGGATTAATCTAAAATCAAGCAAGGACTTTGCTGTCAGGCCACTCTGGCCATCAATCAAATGCCATCAATAGCAGTCAACAACATCAACCATGGATCAAAACGTGGAGTTTTGATCCAAGGATGCTCAGAGTGCAGAGCAGGATGAGATCCCTGGTCCTTTGGGATGGGCTGTGCTGCAAACCTGCAGGGGCAGAGGGAGTGAATCCATCCAGGGCAGAGCATCTTGCTGCAGTTATTTCAGAGCTGATTTCAAAACAATTTCACTGCTGCCATAACAGGACCAAACTCTATTAGAAGCACCAATTTAAAGGGAATGTGTATGCAGAGAATCGATTTTATAGTAGTATTAGCACATCAGAGCTGGGTGTGTTATGTCATTAACTCTTTCTGTAACGACTTGCTCTGGGGTAGTGAGGAACCTGGGGGTGCCCAGCCTTTGTTCCAGCCACCCATGCTGTGTCTGATTGGTTTTATGGTGCGTCTAAATTGGAGCTAGCCTGAAGATAATAGGTCTCTCCAGTGCTTCAAATTAAATTACAGATGTTGCAAAGTCTGTTCAGAGAGTGACTGTACCAGAGGGCTGTTTCCTCCCCAGCAGCTCATCCAGGGAAGGTGTGTGTGCACACCAGATCCCCAGCACGTGTCAGGGATGCACAATCCCAACCCTGTCCCTGTTCTCCTGCTGCTCCCAAAGCCTCCAGCCCTCCTCAGGGACCCCTGGGCTTGCCCAGCCTGCAGCTCCACGTGTACCTGAGCTCTGTGCAGGGATGTCTGTCCCACACTTTAAAATCTGTTGAATTTCTTGATTCTCAGCAAGCAGAACCTTGCAGGGTCCCTGTGCTGCTCTGCCATGTGCTGTTTGACACACTGCACCGACTGCTGGGAGTCCCCACGTGCCAGCAGCAGGGACAGAAGGAGCTGTGTCAGCCTGTGCCTTGCCTGGCTGGGTCACTTTGGCTGAGGCGTCCTGCCTGCCAAACCCCCTCTGCAGAATTACAAATTGCAGTTTCTTGGGGAAATTGGCTTCCCAGCTTTTTTCCTGGGTGGCAGGCTCACCCTCCTGCTGGGTGGTTATTCCTGCAGGGTGGTTTCCCAGCAGGAGAACGCTGGTGGAGCTGTGGGATGCTCTCACCTGCTGCTTTGCAGACCCTGCTGTGATGCACGAGCCTCTCCCCATTGCACGTGTGCTGGGTCACAGCACTGCTCTGCTTTTTTCTGGGTGGATTTCTTTAAAAACCACATTCCCAGCTCCCCCTCTGCATTCACATCACCTGCACTTGGCTTTCAGCACCCCAAACACAGAGATTTGAGCTCTCTTGGTGGCTCTGGGAGCCAGGCAACCAGCAGTGTGGTGGTGCTGCTGCTGTCCTGCTTTTTGAATGGCAGATTTTGTCACTACAGGTGTCCTCCCGAATGCCAGCTTTTGTCACTGCCCTCTGCTTTTATTAAGCTCTAAAGGCAAGTTGCAAATGTATTGCTGCAATTAGGGGTATCTGCGTTTGCACCCTCTGCCATCATGATGAAACTGTGTGTGAAGTGCTTTGGGAACTTGGAGTGGGAGCACTTATGATCTCCTTCACTCTGAGCAGAAGTGCACGAAGTAAAAAATGATATTTTTACTATATTAACTTATTTTTGCCCTGGCTGTGTCATTAGCTCATTATCAGGCTGCTGGAAGGCACACAAGAATTAGCTTTGCAAGAGGCCATTTCTCCTTGTCTGAGCTGCCCCCCTTCTCCCTCCCCCTGGCTTACAGCACCCTCTATATTAAATATACCTAATAGAGTGCCTTCATCATAAGCTGCATTAAAGCTAAATTGGAGAGGAGAGGCTGTTCTTACAGCAGATATTACAGTTTGGTGCTCGAGGTCCATTTCCTGCTGCAGGTTCAGGTTATTTGAGAGGAGTTCTTGTTCTTTTCAAGCTCGTTACACGACCTGGCTTGGCCTGAATTGCTCTGTGGGATGAGCACTGGGGTTGTGCTGTGGGTCCAGCATGAGGCAGCACTGCCATCACCTTCTGCTCCTCCTTCCATCTGTACCTGCTGCTTCCTCCCAGCTGGGATTTTTCAGCTGTGGAAGGAGGACAGAGATGAATCCGGGCAGGAATTTGGGATCAGAGCGAGCGGCTTGGCGGGGGGAGCTCATTCTGCTGTAAAAACACAGCTTAAAGTGTCCTGTCTGTGTCTCTGGCAGGTATGGAAGAGGTCTGGGGCGTGGTTCTACAAAGGGCTGCCCAAGTACATCACCCCTCTGAAGAGCAGCAGCAGCAGCAGAGCCCTGGAGCTGCAGGGCCAGCCCTGGCAGGAGCCCGAGAGCGTCGGGAGCAGCCGCTCCTTCACCTGGGCCAGGGGAAAAGGTTGGTTGTGCCGCCCAAAAAACAGCTGGGAGAAGGAGCTGCCTTCTCCTCTTGCTTCCCAGCAGTCAGGGGAGTTCTCTGTTAGATGTGTGGTGTGTTCCCCACGTGGATGTTGGAGTTCCGTGGTTTTTGGAGGATTTGCTGATGTTGAAGTGCACGTTGGTGGCCCAGATTAGTCCCAGTCTGTGACGGTGCTCACAGGGGCCTCAGGTTGAGGATCTGACTCCATGTTTCAGAAGGTTTGATTTATTATTTTATGATATATATTACATTAGAACAATACTAAAAGAATAGAAGAAAAGGTTTCATCAGAAGGCTGGCTAAGCTAAGAATAGAAAGGAATGATAACAAAGGCTCTGATTCTCTGTTTCAGCCAGCTCACTGTGATTGCCAATTAATTATAAACATCCTAGATGGGCCAATTACAGATCCACCTGTTGCATTCCATAGCAGCAGATAATCAATGTTTATATTTGTTCCTGAGGCCTCTCAGCTTCTCAGGAGGAAAAATCCTAAGGAAAGGACTTTTCATAAATAGATGTCTGCGACACCAGTCCTCCTGGAGCGCGTGTCCTTCAGTCCAACCCTGCTTTCCCCTATTCCTTCACCCCAGCAGCCCTCACCCCACTGTTTTTCATTCCTTCTCCTTCACTACACAACCATGGAACTGCCTGAGGAGCTGGTCCTGCTGGCCAGCACTGTGCAGCCAAAGCTGACCCAAAACTGGGCTCATTCCCTCCCTCCTTGCTCCTCACTTCTGCTGCTCTGCTGGGCAGGTTCCTCAAGTCACTGTGAGCTGAGTTAGGAGTTGCTCTGCCAGCATGTGAGTGCTGCAGAATCAGAGCTGCTGCCAGTTCTGCTTTGATTTCCTTTCTCTCTGTGTGGATTAGCAGAGCTGTCTGGCCTCTCCCCTTCTGTTTTTTGCTGTTAGATCCCCTCAGCTGGAGGAGACCTCTCCAGTGAAGCAGCTGCATGCTCTCCTCCACTCAGCAGAAGTGCAGGGGGAAATAACCTTTTAATAAAGAAACCTCAGGAGCCCTGGGTTTACAAACCTGCTCTTCAGGGCCCAGCTAAGAAAGCACTCCCAGCCCTGCTGTAACTTTTGTAATTAAAGACAAATTAGATCAACAGTAGATGGTTGTGTTGCCCTCCAGGAGATGCTTGGAAGGAGTTAGCAAAGGGACTGATTGATGAGGTTTTTTGTTCACATGATAGAAATAACATTAAGAGTTGAAGCTGTTGAGCCCAAGCCTGGCCTGCTGCTTAGTTCAGCTTTGCAGTTCTGTTTTTTTGGAGAAGGCTTCCCCATAAATACAGGCAGGAGCAGGGGGAGGACAGCAAAGTGACCTTTGGTGAGCTTTGATGTGGGTGGTGAGCTGCCTCTGTCCCTGCTCTCTGATGTCTGTCTGGCTGCTGCTTTATGGGTTGGGTAATATTAATTTATGGCTTTATTTTCTGGTGCTTTCTTTCCCCATTGCCCTGCCTGTCCTCTGGCCAGCTTTCAGTGGGCACTGCAGGCTGTAATTCATCTCTGGAGCTGGGAGCTCGTGCATCTCCCCCCTCCTTTCACCTCCTTCGAAGTTGCCAGTGCTGGGGCTCCTGCTGTTTGTCATCCCCCAAATGGGGCAGGGCAGCTCCTTCCCCCGTGGAAATGTGGATCCATGGCATTGCCAGGGTGAACCTGCAGCTGGAGCTGGTTCCCTGGGCCTGGCTGAGAGCATTTGTCAGCTCACACCTTGTGCAGGCTCCCCCAGACACGTCCTTGCAGCTGGGAGCACAGCCCTGCAGCTGGCTTGGCAGGTTGTTCTTGGGAATGAGCTCTGGCATTTAACACTTTGACAGGCTGCACTCCCTGGGCTTTCCATCATCCTGGCCAGCCCTGTCCAGCCCCTCTGCTCGTCCCTGAGGTGCTGAAGGAGCCAGCTCTGAGTTTTTCAGGGATTCAAGGCAGGTGGGGCCAGCCCAGTCCTGCCACACCCTCTGTGCCAGGAGCTGCCATTCAGAGATGGGACAAACTCAAATGTCCTTTTTTCCCCCTCAAAATTGAGGCATCAGTGCCAGAACCTGGGGATTTGCTCCCACTGCAGGAGGGTGGAAGGCAGAACCCACCAGGCAGAAGTTTTATTTGTGCACCCCCAGTATTTCCCCTGTGTTCGCTGCCGCTGGGATTTGCTGGTGCCTTCGGTATTTCTGCTATAAACAAGCAGTTGCCATGGGAACCCTGCTATTAATTAAGGCACAAATGTATTGTCAGGAGGAGAATGGCAGCAATATTTCTTCTGCTGGGCAGCAGCTCTGCTGCATGTGCTGGAATGTGGGTGGGATTCTCAGCTGGGTCAGGAGGAGGGAGCGAGAGCAGCAAGGGTTTTCCTGATCCAGGCTCTGAGCTGTGCAGGAAAAAGGTGGAAATCAAACAGAAATGTGACCCCTGAGCTGCTGCACTGTTTGGCAGGAGGGCTGCCAAAATCCTGGGGGATTTTCCTGTTCCATCCCTGTTGCCAGGCAATGGGATCTGCCAGAGGCGGGGGAGCAGCACTGGGCAGGGGGATGCAGGGGGATGGAGCAGACAGGGATGTGCTGGGGAGTGGCTGCAGTTCACCCAGCCTGCCAACTTTGCAGTGGCAAAGCTGCAACTTGAGCTGCTCCTGAAAGGGACACGGGCTGGCTCCAGTCACCTTTTCCTTCTTGGGGTGTCATCTGGCACTGGGACCCTGGCCTGTAAAAATCCTCATTTTCTCTCACTGCCCCACCTGCACTGACCAGGAGCTGTCACCCTCCCTGCTCCCTGTGCTTGCCAAAAATCTGCAGGGCTGTGCTCACCCTGGGGCTGTGATTCCCACGTGCTTTTGCTGTTTCTGACAGCTGCAGGAGGTGCCAAGGGCTCTGTGTGTGTGTGCCAGGCTGGGCCTGCCCTGAGCTGGGCATGGCTCCAAAATCACACATTTAACACCAGATCCCGGCCCCAGCCAAGTGCTCCTTCCCCTTGGCCTCAGCACAGCCCCCCCACGTCCTGATTTGCCTCTGGGGACAGGAACAGCCAGAATTGTCCTTCACCATCCCCTGAGTGCCCCTGGCTTGGGGATTGAGGCACGTGGACTCTGCCAGCAGCTGCAGGGCTCCAGGCTCTCACTGAGTGACCCATTCCCTGTGGAAATATTGCTTTTCCAGCAAGTTTTATCTCAGCACATTTTATTTTATGAGCTTTTTTTTTTTTTCCCAGTCAGCTGGAGATAGGGATAAATCTGTTCCATCCTCTGAAAGAACAGCTGTCCAACATCTCCTATTGATATATCAGCAGCTGCTGGAACACCAGATTTACTACTTCTGGGCTCTGGAAAGTGCCAGCAGAAGGTTTGGATGAAGGATTACCTGAAAGGGAGACTTTGGTGCAGCGAGTAGAAGAGAATCTTATTGGCAGCAGAGGAAATGAGAGCAGACAGGGCTGGTCCTGTGGTGAGAGTGCCTTGCAGTCATTAATATTTTCTTCCTCTTGTGCTGCTTCTCTCTGAGCTGCTGAATGGCAGCAGGGACAGGCAGCTAAAGTCACCTCCACTGATTCACTGGGGCCTTCTCCAAATAAATCCTGGCTCCCAGCATTTCCAGAGGATTCATGGAGGAAGGAGCTGTGCTGAGGAAATGGATTTTATGAATCCAGGAGAGCAAAAAAAAGAAAAAAAAAAGATGATGACCAAGTGGAACAGGACTTCATTTTCTGAGAGAATTGAGCAATAAGATGGTCAGAATGAGTCTTGCAGCTGAGATTTGGGTTATATAGGAAAAAAACCCCACTCTGGTATGTATGGATTGTTTTTTAGCAGTGTTTATATAGAACTCCCCACCTCTCCCAGGGAGTTTTGAAGATGTTTTTCCTGAACCTGACACTCCCAGGTAGTAATGGAGATATTTTTTAGACAAATCTTTGCTTTGAGGACTCTTGGCCAGCATTGCAGCCCCCAGCTTTTAAAAGAGCCTTTTTCCCTGCAGGGAAAGGCTGTGAGGGTGTGTGTGAGGAGCTGCCTGCCAGGCCAACTTCAATAATGCCTTGCAATAACACTGCCTGCCAGCTTTAATATCCTCAGAGATGTTAGCATTACTTTAGGTATTCATTCCTCTTTTTTTTTTTAAATGAAATACTTTGTGTAGCACAGATCCTTGAGTACAGGCGTGCCTGCAGAGGTGCTTGGCAGGAATATTTGACAGCTCCTGCTCTGTGCAAGGGGAGGGATTCCCATCCTGCTGCCCTGGGGAGTGCTGGGGGGTTTGGGCTGGCACAGAGGGATGAGCTGACAGCTCTGTGTTACCCCGTGGCTGTCACCTTGTTCCCCTGCACCCACGTCCCCACAGAGAAAATCACTTCTCACAGCTGTGTGAGCTTCTGGAGACATCCTGTGGGTCTAAAAATCATCCTTGGGGCTTCCTTTTCCCTCAGGAGAGGCTGCAGGTTGCAGTGTTACCTGCTTTACATCCCTCATGGGCTGATTTTGTACTTTTCCCCAGGAGTTGTGACCAGCTGTTTGAGGTGGCTGCCAGGAGAGCTGGTATCTGCCTGCTCAGATGGAGAAGTGCAATCCCTCAAACAAAAAACAGATTTTTTTTTTTCCCATTACTTTCCTCCTCAGCCCCACCATTTCTGTTCTGAGATCAAACTACCACAAAAATCCAGGAATTGGGAAAAAACATTATTTTAATTTTACCCAGAGGAGCTGGCAGCCAAGTTATCTTTTACACCAGTGTAAGCAGGAGAGGTGTTTGCATAATTGCATGGAAAAGTGGGAAGAACCTGCCAGTTTGGGAAGCCTGTGTCTGGCAAAATGAGGCTCCTCCAGCTCTTTTGGAAAATATGGGGAGTGGAAAGCAGCAGGAGGAGAGCCAGGATTCAGGGGAAGAAAAACACAGAGGGGAAAAAAAGGGAGAGCAGAGCCTGGAGCAGCAGAGAGTGGCACAGGAGCACCCCAATGTCACCGTGATATTTTCTGAAAAATCCTCTTTGCCCAGGATTTTCTCCAGGGAAGCTGAGAAGCCTCAGAGAGGAATGAAAACAATAATTATCTCATTGCTGCTCCTGTGTTTGCTGCTTTGGAAATGTGGCTTGGATATTTTTTGCCAACAGGTGGATGTTTGATTGGTTCCATGTGAATTGTTTTAATTTAATGTCCAATCGTGGTCCAGCTGTGTAGAGGCTCTGAGGAGTCACAGGTTTTTATTTTTCATTCTTGTTAAAGCCTTCTGATGTGTCCTTTCTCTTACTTTAGTATAGTTTTAGTATATATTATATTATATTATATTATATTATATTATATTATATTATATTTTGTATAAAATATAATCTATTGTAATATATAATATAATTATATTATATATTATATATTATATAGTATATATTATATATTATATATTATATTATATTTTATATAATATATGGTATGTATTATATATTATATATAATGTAATATATAATATAATATAATATAATATAATATAATATAATATAATATAATATCAGCCTTCTGATAACATGGAGCCAAATTCTCATCTCTCACCTCATCCTGGGGACCCCACAAACCCCACACCCCCTGGTCCCAGCCAGCTTTAGGAGAGAAGCACTTGTAGTGTCTGCACCTTCTAGAGTTCTAAATCACCTGCAAAGACTAAAACCACCTCATGCTGTGGGGAAGCAGCAGGAAGGGTCTCCTTTGGGGAAGGAGAACGTGAGCAGGGAGTCAGAGTTTGTCCCTGTTTCCTTTGGACCCATCTGGCAGCTCTTTGGGGAGTGTTGTGAGCGTTGTGGATGAGCGTCTGTGTCCTCTCCTGCAGGGGTTTCCAGTGACAGCGAGAGCGACTCGGAGCTCAGTTCCTCCAGCCTGGATGACAAACCCGTCCCCGTGGGATCAAAAGGCTCCCAAGGGAGAAAGCTCCAGGCAGGATTGGGTGAGGAGCTGCCCTTCCCCGTGGCTGGAGGGTGGGAGGTGTGAAGTGGTTCAGTGTTTGGCTCTTGGCTGTGCTGGGTGAGGGTCTGAGCCTTTCTCCCTGGGATTTCTCCCCCTGGTTCCTTCCATGGCTTGCAGCATTCCAGGAGCTGGGAGCTGCTCCTCATTGTATTTGTGGGGTGCCCTCATGGCAGGGAGGAATGATGAACCTGACTCCATGCTCTCAGAAGGCTAATTCATTATTTTATTATACTATATTATATTAAAGAATGCTAAACTAAACTATACTAAAGAATACAGAAAGGATACTTAGAGAATGCTAAAAAGATAATAATGAAAACTCTTTCCAGTGTCCCAACACAGCTTGGCACTGATTGGCTAATGAATGAAAACAACTCACACCAGAATCCAATGAAACAATCACCTGTGGGTAAACAAACTCCAAACACATTCCACATGAGCAAAACACAGGAGAAGCAAATCAGACAATAATTGTTTTCCTTTTTTTCTGAGGCTTCTGAGCTTCACAGGAGAAAAATCCTGGGCCAAGGGATTTTTCAGAGAATGTGAATGTGACAGCTCCTGGCACCACATGCCGGGCCAGCTCCTCACTCCTGGAATCACTGGGATCACTGGTGTTTCTTGGGAGCAGAGCACAAAAACTGGGGCTGACCCTGCTCCTGAGGGCTCCTGGCTGGAGCTGGGATGTTCCAGCTCAGTATCCCCACCCTGTGGATTCTTAATTCACATTGTCTGGAAAATTCTGCATTCACATTATCTGGAAAAATCCCTTCACTCAGGATTTTTCTCCTGGGAAGCTGAGAAGCCTTAGAGAAAAAGGAAAACAATAATTGTCTGATTTGCTTCTCCTGTGTTTTGCTCCTTTGGAATGTGTTTGGAGATTTTTTCATTTGTTTTTGCTGTGAATTATTTTGACTCTTAGGCCAATCAGGGCCAAGCTGTGTTGAGGCTCTGGAAGGAGTCAGGAGTTTTCATTATTGTCTTTTTAGCTTTCTGTAAGTATCCTTTCTGTATTCTTTAGTATAGTTTAGTTTAGCATTCTTTAATATAATGTATCATAAAATAATAATATAATAGCATATATAAATATAATATAATTTAATATAATAGCATCATAAAATAATGAATTAGCCCTCTAAGAACATGGAGCCAGGTTCATCATTCCTTCCCATAAACACAACATCACCGCCTTTGACACCCTCAGCTCATCTCTGTCCTGTCCCAGCAGCCCCCACCAGGGGACCCAGCCCGGCCAGGAGCAGAGCCCTGGAGCCCCCGCAGTGTGCCCAGCAGTGGGGCAGCCACAGCAGCCTGGGCAGTGAGCAGGGGGCCGAGCTCAGCCCCATGGAGAGTGACCAACCCTCGGGCAGGCGCCACAGCGACACTGGCACCCCTGGTAAGCTGCACCCCTCTATGGGCACATCCCTGCTCCTTGGGGCTGAACCCCCTGAAAGCACAGCTTTCCCAGAGGCTTTGTGTGCTTCCCCAGAGGCTTTGTGTGCTTTCCCAAAGGCTCTGTGTGCTTTTACACTTTATTTTGGGAGGAGAGGGAGGGCAGTGCTTCCCCTGCCAGAGCCGTCTGTGGCCGGAGTGGATGGGTGACCAGCTGGTGTTTGGGTGTGAAAAACGCCAATCACAAAATTTTAAAAGTCTCATAGTAATAAAATAGTTGTAAAAATAGTAGTACAATTAGAGTAATAATAATCGGGACAATTTGAATTGCCAGAGGCACACAAAGCTGTGGCCCCGGGATCACTTTTCTCTGTGTCGTGGTTTGAGAGGAAGTGAGTTTTTTGGGATGCTGTGGTCAGGAGGTCTCAGCTGTGTTTCTGTGGCACAAGAGGGGCTCCTCACCCTTTGATGAACTGAGAATTGATTATCTGAAGGGTGGTGATGGACTGAGAGATGGTGATCTGAGGGATGGATGTATTGGAAATTTGCTGGGGGGGAGGAGGAAATGTTTTTGGAAGGTTTTCATTCTTTCTGCATGAAAATTCTATTCTCTCTTTCTTTCTAACTATATTTTTACATATAGTTTAAGTTAATAAAGCTTTCTCTTCTTTATTTCTAAGTGGGAGCCTGTTTTGCTCTATTCCTGGTCACATCTCACAGCAGACACCAGGGAGAATGTATTTTCATGGGGGCACTGGCATTGTGCCACTCTGCTTCTTTTTCTTTGTATTAGCAGATGCTGTCACGGTGTCACATCTTCTCCCCTGAATGCAAAAGCTTTTCTGCAACATGAGTAATGGTCTGGGGTGGGAGCTGCCTACACCCACGGCCAGCAGCACTCAGAGCCTGGGGCTGTGGCCCTGCAGAGCTGCTCTGTGTCCTGCAGAGCCAGCAGAACAGATTGAGCTTCTCCTGAAGCAAAGCAAAGCCCAGCAGCTTTATGAGAGCGAGGAACATTTTTTTCCTGGAGTGAGGTTGCTCTTGAAGCCAAGCATGGCTCTTCCCAGAACTCTGCAGTGCAGAAGAAAGACACTTTTTTCCCCCTCAAAACCCTCAGAACAATTAAGTGACTGGGAAAGCAGAGGCTGCTATCACACCTGAAGCAGCTGAAAGAGATGCAAATGTGTTCTCTCTGCAGTTCCCACTAATTTAGTCACTAACCCCTCAAGTTATCATGCAGCCCCGCTCCCTCCCCAGCATCCCTGCCCTCTGAACTGCCTCTGCTGTTCTTCCTGAGCCTGCTTGGTGCTGGCCATGTTGAGGCATAAATTGGATTAGAGAGAGCAGGTTCATCCTTCAGTGCACCAGGGAGCCGTGGTCCCCCTCCCTCCCTGCTCTCCCTGCTGGAAACAGGCAGCACAAAATTGTTCCTCTGCTCTTCCCTCCCTCCCCAGCTCCCAGGCACTGTTTTCCTTTAGTTTTTCACCAGACAAACCAAACAAGTGATTCTTCTGCTCTGTCCTTCCTCCCCGTGGATTAGAGCCTGCCCTGGGATGGCAGGGGGGTTTATTTTAAGCTCTTGTTCAGGATTAGAGAGGGTGGATTCCTGCTGCAGGTTGTCCTTGGGGTTGGAATGGGTGTTGCTGGACACCAGGTGACCCTTTGGGTGCTGCCTCTGATGGATGGATGGATCCACTTCTGGACGATGTGTTTGTACTCAGTGTTCTGTAGCTTCTCTGCTGCTCTTTGAGCCAGCTGCTGCCTGGCCATGACAGTGCAAACTCTATTTCAGAGGCCAAAAAAAAAGGAAAAAAACCCCCATTTTTCCTGCTAAAAACTCCATATGCAAAGCTTGGCACAAGGGTCAAATCTTTCCAGAGGGGTCTCCCTGTGAAGATGGGGCAGAGCTGAAGTGATAGGCAGCATGGGCTGATATTTAAAAAAGGAAAACTGCAGCAATCTCCTGAGCCCAGTTAAAGCTGGCCCTGAGATGTAGAGAGGATCCTGCTAGGGAAAAGGTTAAGCCAGGTTGGCTGCCTAGGGAGTTTCTGTAAAGATCTTTATGTCTGGGGTCATTTATTTCTCAGGGTTCTTGCAGAAGGGGCTGCTTTGTTCAGAGCCCAGGTACAGGGGCTCTGTACCCTCAAATCCAGGCAGGGAGGCAGGAAATCAGCACTTTGGGTGCCTCTCTTTGCCAACAAACAGAGGCTGCTCTTGCTGTTGATATCTTTAAAGAGTGCTGGATTTCAGGGTTCCCAGCCTCTCCCTGCCTTTTGGACATTCCCTGAGCTCTGCCCTGCCCCAAGAGCAGAGCAAGGGGCAAAGATCTTTCCTCATTTCAGCTGCTGATCCTCAGCTGCAGGATGGGGCTGTTAAAAGCTGATTTTCTGCACCTTTACAACACCCTGTCAGGAGCAATTTTTGCTCCATATTATCACCTCAGGTGTTGTTCTTTCTTTGCACTTCTTTTCTCACCTCTGCTCTAACTCTGCTCTCGAGTGTGACTTGGCAGAGCATCCTGAGATCCCAGGCCACCTCCAGAGCAGGGAGCTGGGGACAGGTGCTGCAAAAGCAGCTGCTCTCACTGTCCTGGGCTCTTCCAGCCTGAATGCCAAGCCAGCAGCAGGGTTTTGGCCAGGGGAGGACAAGGAGCTCTTAAGGAGAGGTTGGAGGTTTCCAGCGTGCTGCTCCAGCCCCGCCTGGGCTTTGCTGGGGCTGATAATGAAGCCTGGAGTTTGTCATAAAATGACTCATTGTCAGAGCTGCATTGGGATTGAGGCAACCTCAGCCCATGAGCCAAAGTTTCAGAAGAGTGGTGAGTTGAGAGGCTGCCAGTTTTATTATTTTTTAAAATTTTTTTACCACCTGCTCTCAAAGCCTTTCAAAGGCCCCATTTTCTGAGGGGCTGCTGCTCCTTCTGCTTTTGCAGCTCCAGTTCGTGGAGGTGCCTGCTCTAACCTGATAGCTTTCAAGAGGAAGGTCACACACTCATTGTCCTGAAGAAGGTTTTATCCTAAAGAAAATTAAATTTGCACATATGGAAGAAGAACAGTCTTCTTTTCCCCTCTTGCTCCCAGCTAGGGCAGGTGACTCACCTTGTTCTGGCTGCACAGCTGATGCTGAGAGATGCCTTAAAAAAAGAGCAAAATCCTCACTTGTGTTGATTATGATGTTTTTATTAAGGAAGGGGAATATTAAACAGAGTGAAACAAAAACAATCAGTATCTTACAGTGGTTTTCATTAGCCCAGGGAGAGCTTTTAATGGAGATAAGAAATCCGAGCTTGGGCCTGCTGCAGGGGGTAAATGAAACCCAAGTCATCTCCCCTCAGATCAGCAGCAGGTTCTGCACTGATGGGTGTCAGCTGATGGGGTGCTCAGCATCCTCTGAGGAATCTGCCCCAGAAATGGTGAATCCTGCTGGCTGCTGGGGAGTGGGGAACCAGCCTGGCACGGGCTGTGGGGCTGCAGAAGCTCTGATTCCTGCTGGAATCAGCTCTGAGAGGCAGCCAGGAGAGAAGCTCTAATGAGTGAGTGCAAATCACAGCCTCCCCATCTCTGCCTGCTTGCCAATGTGTTGTCTAAATCATTAATACTTAAAGAGTGGCGCAGCAGCTGGCACTTGAACAGAGGCACGTTGAGCGGAGCTGAGACAAGGCTGGCACTGCCTGCTGAGGGTCAGAAATGTTCTGGTGTGCAGGAATGGGGTGGGACCTGCTGCAAAGATCCCCAGGTGTCACCAGGCCCAGCCTGAGCCCCTCTCCTGCATCTCCTTTGTGCTGGGAGAGGCTGAGGGAGATGGACAGGGAGTGCTGCTCCCAGCTCTCTTAATTTGGGCAGATTTATTCCCTGTCTTTCAAGAATTGACTGGATTTAGGAGTGAGGTGGTGTCTCACTGTGGGCTCCCTGGCTGGGCTAGGCATCCACTTCTGCTCATAAATATTCAAGCTGTTAATACACGAGCCAGGCAGAGCCATCCAGCATTATTGTTGTGGCAGGAAATTCTCTGGGCATCTTTGAAGTTAAAGCATTAACTTCTATTTTCACTTCCATTCTTCTTCTCAGATGTCTGCTTTGCTCCCTCAGGGACCGTGAGGAGGTGGCATTTTGCTTCAGTGGGTCTGACTGCTCCATTCCATGTAGGAAGGAAAAAAAAAAATAAAATGTCCTAACAGTAATTAGGCTCCAAATGAGGTAGTAATTTCTTTAATTACTTGCTTCATGGCAGTCTTTGGGGAGTTGACTTTTGTTTTCCTGTGCTTGGTGAGAAAGTTGCTGAGATGTTTTCAGGCTTGCTCCTTGTTTGTGTGGATTTCCAGGGCTGGTTTTGCACAGGCTGGAAGAGGTGGGAAATCCCTGCTTTAGGGCATAGTTTGGGAAGGACAGAGGGATCAGATATGAAGGAAAGACCCTCACCCACACCCATCCAAGCCCCTGCTCCCTTCATTGGCTGCCTCGTCACATTTTTCCTCCTCTTTATCCCCTTTTGCTCAGAGCTTGCTGGGATTGAGTTTTCCTGCTGCCAAGGCGGAGGATAAGTTGTCTGTCTTCCCCCAAAGTGAAAAAATTGAATTGTGCCTTCATGGCTGAGGAGCTTTGAGCTGTCTCTGCCTCCTCAGATGCTCAGAGCACCGAGTGGTCCTGCTGTACTTATAAATAAAACATAGCTCTGGGTAGTGGCAGCATTAGAAAATGATTCAAGGTTTGCATTCCAGATACAATGCATTTGTAAATATGAACCTCAGGAGAAGCCTGTGCCCCCTTTCCATGTTTGAGGGAATTAAAATATTTTCATCCTCGAGTGGAAGAAGCAAAACATTTCCAGCTCTTTCAAGCCTGCCTCGGAGTTAAGCGAATAAAGGCTCAAGTAACTAAAAAATAAATTACTTTCACTACTCCTGTAATTCTTTATGGAGTTTTAAATTGAAGGCTTCTTCCTTCAAAATAGAGGGATGACAAAGATTCATTCTCTCAGCTCTTTCACTCAATCTATCAGGAAACAAGCCTGCTGCTGAGGATGAAACTCCTATTTTTGTGCCTTCCTTCCCTCTGCAGAGGTCTGTGATCAAACAGCCTGTCTGGCCTCCTGTCCCCACCTCCTCAGGCTCATCCTCTGCCCTCTGCAATGCATTCACTCCAACTTCCCATTCAGCATTTTGCACAAAGCACCGGGGGCAGGAGCTGATGGCAGCTTGGCAAACAAAGCAGGAAGGGGAGAGCAGGGGAAGTCAGTGAGATAGAAGTGAAAAGTGGATTTTGGAGTCTTTGTAAACACACAGAGAGAGGTTCTGTGGTTATCTTTTAGCAGGGATGTCAGGCAGCAGCTGCTGGTAGGAATTTGCTTTGGGACTCCTGGTGCCTTGAACAATTGACATTGAATGCTGTGATTGCTGTGGTTCCCCTGTCCTTTCCCCAAGAGGAGCTGCAGTGTGTCCCAGCAGAGCCTGAGCTTGGCCAGGGCACTGAAGGGATCAGGGTTGTTCAGTCAACAGGAGTTTTTCCCTGTGAAAAACACCAGTCGCTTGTTTTAAATTTTAAAAGTTTAATAGCAATAAAATGGTTATAAAAATTGTAATACAGTTGCAGTAATAATAATTTGGACAGTTTGGATTAGGATGATATGAGACAATAGAAACAAAGAGTTACAGATGTCTGGGTACCTTTTTCTGGGCAAAATAAGCCCAAAAAAGGATCCACGTTAACAGAGGATTAACCCTTAAATACAATAACCTGTTGCATATTCACACAGCTCATACATGATGCATAAATTCCATTCAAACACAGGATTCTGTCTGGTCATCATCAACTTCTTCCTTCTAATCCTAACAGCGCCTTCAAGGCAGGAGGAAGTTCATTTCTCCTGATAATGGGGCAATAAATTCTTTTTCTCTGAAAAATTCAGGTGTCCTGTGGCTGCTATCTCACTGCCAGTCCTTTCTTTAAAAAAAGTATCCTACATAGCATCGTTTCTATTTTAACATATTTATAACCTAAAACTATATTTAACACAGTACTTAAGAGAATTAATACAGCATTACTTTCTAACACAACACATATAATATCCATTTGAATATTTGTGAAAAGCCAATCATAAAATGCGTGCATTTTTCCCAAGCCCAGATCTGGAGCAGAGCAGGGCTGTGCCCATCCCCAGGTGTGACTGATGTCCATGGCCCAGGCACATGGAGAGCAGGAATGTCTCATGGACCAGTCCTAGCAGCACAACTCCTCATTTCTCCTCCTCTCCACATTTCCCTCCCCTGGCTTTTCTTCCTTTAATCGAGTCTAATGGGCTCTGACTGCTGGACTAATGATGCATAGATGTTCTCTTTATTATTTTTAGGGAGCTCTCAAAATGGCACTGAGCACACAAAAGCAACGTGAAATAACTCTGTGGAGCCTCTCCCCTTCGCTGCTTTCCAAACAAAAACTTTTATTCTTTTTTATTTTTTTTTTGAAGGCAAACGAGGAACCCACACCAGAACACGGCTCTGATTCTGAAGGGGGTGAAGATGGAGCTGCTTTGTCCTGGATTCCTCAGATCCCACCCCAGACAGGAGCTGCTGCCAGTGGTGATGCTGTGATGGCAGCAGAGGGGCTGGGATTTGCTGCCATCCTTGTCTTTGTTGTTGTTTTGTTCTGTTTGGAGCGAGTTTGGAGGGGGCAGCAGGAACCAGAAGCTCCTGATGAACCTGGTGAATCTCCCGTTCCCTCCCTTCCTCTCTGCTCAGGGTAAAGGAACACTCCAAGGAATTTGCTGGACTGATGGGTGCCAGCTGATGGGGTTTTTCACTCCCCTTGGAGTGAATTTTTCACTCCCCTTGTGCTCGTGGGAGGGTGGGGGTCAGGGGAGATGTGTTTGCTGCAGCACACCCCCAAACCCCAGCCCAGCTGCCCAAATGGGATAAAAGCTTTCAAGTGACTTTTATCCTGTAAAGCTCTGCAGATTCCCCTCCCACGTGCACACACCTTCTTTTGCCTTTTTTCCTGGAAGTCTGGAGCATCTGGCTGGCTCTGGTGGTGTCATCATGAGTCAGGCTCTTGAAAACTGCATGCCCTGGTCCTGCTTATCCTCCAGAACGGACAATTTCCCTCTGAGGCCTGACAGATGAGAAAAATCAAATTACTTCACGTCTCTGGAGCAATTAGATCTTTGAAGGCCTGAACAAAACCCACACTGGGAGTCTGTGGATTTTATTAAATGCTTTGGAGCTGACCTGTCTATTATGAAGAAACAAAGGATTCCAAAAAGTTCCCTCTGAAATCACGGAGTTAAAGGCAATTTGTGCCCATTAATGTCAGCCTTTCCCCTGGTTATTTCTCTTTTGTTCTGCTTCCCTTTGCTCTGGGCACTCTGTCTGCATGTAGTGTGTGTTCTTACAAACAGCTGCAGGATGAAGATAAATGAGATTGGGCGCTGGAACACTCTGGCAGGAGATGGGAAATCAATCCCTGGCTTGCTTTCCAGATGAGCCTGGCCCAACAGAGCCCGTTCCCTCACTGCTCCCCAGGTCAGTGCTGTGGCAGCTTGCTGGTGAAATGCTCCCAGCCCTCCCTCTGGGATCTGCTCCTGCCCTTTTGCAAATGGGAACAAAACCTTTGGGCTCCCTGAGATGGCAGAAAAAGAAATCACTGATAGTGAGGAGCACACCATCAGTGCTGGAGAGAGCAAGGAGTGAGGTTGTTCTCCTCTGAGGGATGTTTTATGGCATGGTCTGTTGTTAACCTGGCCATTAACTGCATCTGTGCAATGGGAGATGCCAAAACCATCAGCTGTATGTGAAAAAGGAGCTCCAGCTGTCAGCTCCAGCTGAAATACTGGTGTGGTTTCAGGGCTGTAGGGTCTTCAGTTTCCAGTGTGTGTAGGCACCAAAGAGAGTTCTGTTGTGCCTTGAAGCTTTTGACAATCCAAGTGATTCTTGTCTTGCTCATTAGTGCAGTGCCTCAGCCAGCCTGGCCTGCCAGGCAAAGTTAATTCCACAGCACAAGGGGAAGGGAAAAGACTTTTAGGAATTGACTCTGTTTTCTTTAAACCTCTTCCTTTCTCATCACCAACTCTACACTGAGTTGGAAAAAGCTTTTAAAATCAGGAGTTAATTTCTAACTCTCCTCGTGTCCCTTGTGCTTCTCTCCAGGGCAGTGCACGCAGGTCCCTGGTGTCCCCATTCCCACCCTCATTTGCCATCCCATGGGATCCCAGCTCTGCTCAGGAGCCTGGGAGTCCTTGCTGTGCCACTGTGAGGCATTAGCTTGGTTTTTAACTGAGGCTAGCTTTTATAAAACACCCTCAGAGATAAATTTGACGTTGCTGTGGTGCTAGCGGGACTGGAAACTTTTATTTCTTGTTTAAACTTTATTTATATTTTCTTTCTTACCTGTGTATTTTAACTCCACGGGGTAATTCCACCCAAGTTTGAACCAGAACTGTTCAATCAGCTATGGAAAGACTCCTCTTGGATTGAGGGAAGGATCTGATCCTGGACAATGTGATCCAGGCACAGCTGAATGTGATAGAGGAACATCTGCAGCTCTGGGCACTATTTTATTTTGAAGACCGCTTTTCCCTTTGTGGTGATTGTCTTGGTTGTGTTTTGTGGCTTTTGTTGGAATATTATCCTGAACCTGTACCTGCCTTTTGAGCCAGCTCAGTGTGGGCAAGAAGAGTTCAGTGAATGTTTTCAGTCTGCTCTGGTCATTTGTGTTTATTGTTTTCTTGTTCTCACCTCCATCCCTCACAACTTTTATGTGGTGTTTTACTACTGGAAACAATAAAGCTTTTGCTCAGTAACATTCCTGAAACAGTAAAAAAAGTTTCTTTTTAAGATACTCTCCAAATCCTCCAGCAAGGCAAGACAATAACCCAGGCAGTGGAAATGGGATTGGTGTGGCTGGACTTTAATTGAATCCTGCACTTGAAAGTCACCTTTTGTCCTGTCCCCTCCTCTGTGCCTGGTGCTGGTGCTGGCAGGGGCGCAGATCAGCTCCTCAGCCCCTCCATGGAGGTTTTCCACACTGCAACCAAGACCCAAAGCAGCAGCAATTGTCCCCACAGCCCCTGTGACAAGCAGGGCCACCAAGAAGTGCCTCTGTGTCTCCCCATTGTGCGCTGAGCTCACACAGCCCTGGCTCTCCTGTTCCCTCAGCATTCAGCCTCAAGGTTTCAAATAGCTTTTTAATCTGTTTTTTTCTCTTTGCATTGCCCTGCTCTAAAAGCTCCTCAGTAATTGCAGTTGGGATTGTTGTGCTGGGGAGCTGCCATCAGGCCAAGGATGGAGCGTGTCAAGGACTGAGCAGCTCCGGGGCTGCTGCTTCCCCTCCCTGCTTGCCATGACAACAGATGGGAGAGGCAGCTGTGGGATCTCTGAGAGCCACAGACGCTGCCTGGGCACTGCCAAGCTCCCCTGGTTGGTTTTTATATTTTATTTTGGGAGGGGAGGGCAGGGCAGTGCTTCCCCTGTCAGAGCCATCTGTGGCCGGAGTGATTGGGTGAGCAGCTGGTGTTGGGGTGTGAAAAATACCAATTTGTTTGTAAAATTTTAAAAGTTTAATAGTAATAGAATGGTTGTAAAGATAGTAGTACAATTGGAGTAATAATAATTTGGACAATTTGAATTAGGATGATATGAGACAATAGAAACAAAGAGTTATGGACAGCCCGGGTACCTTTTTCTGGGTATAATAAGCCTGAAAAAGGACCCACATTAACAGAGGATTAACCCTAAAAACAACAGCCTGTTGCATATTTATACACCTCATACATGATGCATAAATTCCATTCAAACATAGGATTCTGTCTGGTCAGTGTCAGCTTCTTCCTCTGGATCCAAATGGCATCTTCAAGCCTGAGCAAGGTGGGAAGAAGTTCATTTCTCCTGATAATAGGGCATTAATTCTTTTTCTCTGAAAGATTCAGGTGTCCCGTGGCTGCTATCTCAGTGTGAGTCCTGTCTTTAGAAAAAAAAAAGTATCCTACATAGCACAGTTTCTATTTTAATGTTTTGTTATAACCTAAAACTATATTTAACACAGTACTTCAGAGAATTAATACAGCATTACTTTCTAACACAACACATATAATATTCATTTTAATTAGCAGCAAGCCTGGTGACTTGCTGCTAATCAGAGCCTTATCAGGAGAGGGCTGCTGGCACAGACACCTCCTCCCCTGAGTGTGACTGACCTGTGATTCCAGAGCTGACAAATCCCCACAGCACCGTGCCTGCTTTTAGTTATTTGCAATTGCACAAACTTCTGTTCCAGCAAACTTCTGCTCTGAGCAGAACAGGGGTGTGGGAGCTGCCCTGCTCTCTGGTTTTGGGGCTGGATTTGGGGAGATCACACCTCTGAGACTGGTCCTGAAAACCCTGCTGGGTATTTCAGACTCATCCCCTAAAGAATCCCCAGCCTGATCCACTCCCAGCCCCTGGGACAGCAGCTGGGTCACCCAGAGCAGCTGATTCCAGCATTCCTAATTTCCCACCTGTGAAACCAAGGCCAAGAGAACACTTTATTTCTGGTGAAACCAGCTTTATCCTTTATTTCCCAGCTGGTGAAACCAAGCCCAGGAGACCAAGAGAAGCTCAGTGACCAGCCGAGCAGGGGCAGGAGGAGCAGCCCTGGAGCTGCTGACAGGACAGACAGCCCTTCATCTCCAAAAGGCACCCGTGCCAAATCCAACCCCTCCAAGCAATCACACCGTGGCCCTTCAAACGGTGCCTTGGAGGAAAGAAAAACAAGCTGAGAGATGGAAATGAGGGATGTAAATCTTCCAGGCTGTGTCTGGGAGGGACCTGGTTAATCAGCATCGCTGAGCAGCCCTGATGTGGTAAGTGCTGAGGAGGAATTTTGCCAAATTCCCCCGGTTTGGATAGCAGGTGAGCTGTGTTCTGTTTGAATCCCCACCTCGGGGTTGTTTTTCTGTACTTCCAGAGTTGCTGTGCTGCCTGTAGCACGAGCAATAGGCTCCTGTGTCCTGAGCATCTTGGCATGGGATTTATTAATGTGATAAATAAGAATATTCCTGTCAGGGTTGTGAGTTAGGGAGTTCCTGAGCCTTTGTTCCTCCCTCAGCCCTGCCTATCCCAGTGCTAATTGGTGCCACGTGGGTATTTTCAACACTGATAACGTTTGGGAGCTGCCTGGGGATTGCAGGTGAGGCTTTCCCCGAGGTGCTGCCTTGCCAGGTTTGCATCGTGCTGTGTCACAGATCCCTGTTCCTGACCTGTCACCGTGGGAGATGCTGGGATTAGTGTGATGGAGTGCTTGGAGAGGATAAACAATAATGATGCTGCACCCAAACAATGCCTTTCACTTCTCCCTCCTTTCTTTTCCTGTCGCTTCCCCATTCAGGCTTAATAAGATCAGTGCAGATAATTTCTGTGCTCGTGCAAAACATCATTTTCCCTCCTGTGCTTTGCCAGCTGCGCTGCAGTGGGGAAGGAAAATTCCCACTTTCTCCTGCTTGGTTGTGGATGGGTGCATCTGTTCCTCGAAGATAGGGAAAGGAGGGTGGAAGGGGAGAGGAGAAATCAGA